CCCTGGTACCAAAACCTGGCAAGGACAGCACGCATACACAAAAAAACCCTACAGGCCAATATCTCTGAAGAATACAGATGCAAAAATCCTAAAGAAAACACTAGCAAGTCGAATACAATACATCAAAAAAATAATCCATAACGATCAAGTGGGGCTTATCCCAGGGGCACAAGGATGGTTCCACATACACAAGTCAATCAATGTGATACACCACATTAGCAAAAGAAAAGATAAAAATAATATGATCTTATCAATAGATGCAGAAAAAGCATTTGATGAGATATAACATCCATTTATGATTAATACACTCAATAAAATATGAATTTAAGGAAAGTACCTCAACATAATAAAGGCCATACATGATAAACCCTCAGCTAATATACTCATTGGTGAAAAACTGAAAGCTTTTCCTCTAAGATCAGGAACAGGCAAGGATATCCATTCTCATCACTTTTATTCAACATAGCTCTGGAAGTCCTAGCCAGAGCAATAAGGCAAGAGAAAGAAATAAAAGGCATCCAAATAGGGAAGGAAGTAGTTAAACTCACTTTTTGCAGAAGACATGATTCTGTATATAGAAAACCCTAAAGACTCCACCAAAAAAACTATTAGAAATAATAAACAAATACAGTAAAGTTAAAGGATACAAAAATCAATGTACAAAAATCCACTGCCTTCCTGTATACTAACAATAAAACTTCAGAAGAAGAAATGGAAAAAACAATTCCTTTTGCAATTACAACCAAAAAAATAAAATACCTAGGAATAAACTTAACAAAGAACCTAAAGGCCTATATACTGAAAATTACCAAGCATTATTAAAAGAGATTGAAAGACACAAGAAAATGGAATAATATCCCACGCTCATGGATTAGAAGAATTAACATAGTTAAAATGGCCATAGTATCCAAAGCAATATACAGATTTAATGCAATCCCCATCAAAATCCCAACAGCATTTTTTAAAGAAATAGAACAAGAAATCATCAGATTTGTATAGAACCACAAAAGACCCAAATAGCCACAGCAATCCTGAGAAAAAAGAACGAAGCTGGAGGTATCAGCTACCTAAACTCTAATTATATTACAAAGCTACAATAATCAAAACAGTATGGTATTGTCAGGGAAATAGACGCACATCAGTGGAATAGAATACAGAGCCCAGATATAAAACCACATGTATATGGGCAGATAATTTTCAACAAATGAGCCAGAAACACACAATGGAATAAAGATAGTCTCTTCAATAAATGGTGCTGGGACAAATGGAAAGGCACATGCAAAAGAATGAAACTGGATTACAGTTTGTTCCCATGCACAAAAATTAATTCAAAATGGATCAAAGACCTAAATATAAGATCCAAAACAATAAGTTACATAGAAGAAAACATAGGTACCAAACTTATGGATCTTGATTTTAGAGAACGTTTTATGAATTTGACCCTAAAGGCAAGGAAAGTAAAGGCAAAAATAAATGAATGGAACTATATCAAACTAGAAAGCTTCTGCACAGCAAAAGAAACCAACAACAAAACAAAGAGGCAGCCAACCAGATGGAAGATGATATTTGCAAACAGTAGCTCCGACAAAGGTTTAATTTATAGAGCTCATAAAATTCAACACCAAACAACCCAATCAATAAAGTGGGCAGAGGACCTGAACAGACACCTCTCCCAAGAAGGCATACGAACAGCCAATAGATATATGAAAAGATGTTCAGTCTCACTAGCAATTAGGGAAATGCAGATCAAAACTACAATGAGATACCACCTCCCACCTGTCAGAGTGTCTTTTATCAACAAGACAAGCAATAACAAGTGTTGGAGAGGCTGTGGAAAAAGGGAACCCTCATTTAGGTCTGGTAGAAATGTAGACTGCTACAGCCACTATGGAAAACAGTCTGGTGATTCCTCAAAAAATTAAGAATAGAGTTACCATACGACCCAGCAACCCCTCTCCTGAATATATACCGGAAAAACTCGAATACATGTATTCACAAAGATATATGCACCCCTATGTTCATTGCAGCATTAGTCATGTGGCCAAGACAGGAAACAATCAAACTGTCCTGCGATAGAGGACTGGATAAAGATGTGGGACATCCTTTTATGTGGCAGTGTTGGTGTAATGAGTTGAATGCGTCTGCCTTACAGACTTTTTCATTTTGTGCCCATAACACAGGCCCCGGCATGTGGAGGGTGGAGCAGGGATGCTTTATTGCCTGGAAGAATCAGGGAGAGAACAGTCCTTTTGTTGTTATATACTGGTTACATACCAGTTACATACCAGGCTGCTGGGTATGATTTGGTTTGAAGAAAGGGCTTTGCTGTATTAAAGAAACAAAACCTAAAAATTACTATTTTATTGCATTTCTTATTATTTCATAAAAAGGAACACAAAGTAGAAAAGTGAAATTGCTGATTTTAGTATAAAAAGTATAAGTCTCATAAATGAAATACACTGATAATAAAGATGGAACTCAAGAAGCACTTGGAAGCAGGAATCTTTGGCCTGGGCTGGATATAACTGAACTTAAGCTAACTCACTAGTGGTCGATTATGAAGGAAAAAGACCACATTTATACAATTTGAAAAGCTGAAAAGAAAACATCATCAAAGATCACATCTAAATTGTAGGGAATGACAGGATTTTGTAACTAGGTTTTATTTTTTTAGTTTTTATTTCATAATCATAAACGTAACTCTGCAATCCAGCTAGACTTGGAAGGGGTAAGGAAAATATGAAACCCAATGAACTGTAGTCAGAGCACGAAGGTTATAGAACATTCCAGGCAGATAAGGTGAAGGGGGGCTCTCCTGAGCTACAGAAGGAATGGTCTGGTAGTTAATTAAACTAAAACCAAATTTATTAGCATTGTCCACAGTCAGCAATGGTGATCTTCTTTCTGGCCTTGCCATTCTTGGACCCACAGCACTCCATGGCTGCCACAATATCCATGTCGTCTCTCACCTGGCCGAAGAGCACACACCTGCCATCCAACCACTCAGGCTTGCAGTGCAGAAGAAAAACTGGGAGCCATCGTGCTGGGTCCAGCATTTGCCATGGACAAGATGCCAGGACGAAGTGCTTCAGGATGAAATTCTCATCATCAAATTTCTCCCCATAGATGGACTTGCCACCTGTGCCATTGTGGCTATGAGGTCACCACCTGGCACACAAATCCCGGAGTAATTCTGTGAAAGCAGAAACCTTTATAACCAAATCCCTTCTTCCCAGGGCTCAGAGCAGGAAAGTTTTCTGCTGTCTTTGGAACTTTGTCTGCAAACAGCTCAAAGGAAACACGGCCCAAGGGCTGGTCGTCCATGGCGATGTCAAAGAACATGGTGGGGTTCATCAAGGCTGGGCACGGATGGCTCCGGGGCAGCGGCGTCTGCAAAGCCNTTGGAACTTTGTCTGCAAACAGCTCAAAGGAAACACGGCCCAAGGGCTGGTCGTCCACGGCGATGTCAAAGAACATGGTGGGGTTCATCAAGGCTGGGCACGGATGGCTCCAGGGCAGCGGTGTCTGCAAAGCTTGTAACTGGTTTTTAATTTGGGAAAAGACTGCTGCTTATAATGTGCAGGTCTATCGTGCAACTTTCACACTTGACTCCGACCCATGTTTTCAGGAATGTGCCACATTCAAAAGTAGTGGAATGACTGGACAATATCACTTTAGACAGTAATCAAGGCCAGTCCCATTGAATGGTCATGTAACAGGCATTCTGTCGATTAGCTGATTGTAGCTCATTAGAGTCCATCTAACTTCTTGATGGATAACTGTTTGCTGGTGCGTTCACCTCAGTCTTCCTCCCACACCAGCTCTGAGTGCATCTTTGGTCTCCATGTAAGTCCACTGGGACCTTCTCCTGTGGCAACGTTTGCCACTGCTGATATCAAGTCTAAACTCGTTCCACTGATGTCTGACACTCAGACGTGGGTGAAGTCATGCTACTACCTAGAAATGGGAGCTTCACGTTTGTCTAGAAGCTTCTTAACATTGATAGTCTAATTGCCAACTAATCAGAGAGGTTGTATGCTTTTTAGCATGAGATACACCATCATATGTATTTGGTAAGAATTTTAAAAAGTGCTTCCTTCCTGAAGGGCCACATGACAGTACAGATCAGGAGCTTTAGAAAGAAACTCACCTTCTGAGCTAGAAATTTCACTTCTAGAATTCCTTCTACATAAACACCCTGACAAATGTGCAAGGATGCTGCACAAAGAAATGTATTGCAGCATTTATTATAATAATGACACATCGGAAATAACCAACAGGAAAGTGGTTAGAAAAGACAAGTTTTTAAAGAAAAGGTTACTTTCTATATGTTAGGTATTTATATATTTTATGTATTAAGATTTTTAAGATTTGGAAATGTTTACATGAAAATGTCAACAATGATAATCTTTTGGTGACAGTTATAAGTGACTCAAATATTTTTATTTTTTATTTGCTATATGTGAATTATCTGGATTGTCCAACTTTTTTCTAAAATGAACATGTATTGTTCTCTGTATATATGTAATATTATTTTATAATCCTCACCCGAGGATATGCTTTTATTGATTTTTTTAAATTGATTTTAGAGGGAGAGGATGGGAAAGAGAGAAACACTGATGTAAGAGAAACATCAATCAGTTCCACCCAGCCTGGGAATGAACCTGTGCCCTGGCCAGGAACTGAGCCCAAAACCTTCTGGCATAAGGGACAATGCTCCGAACAACTGAGCCACCCAGCCAGGGCTGTAATATTATTTTTTAGGTAATACAGGCCACTCAACCCAACTTTAAAAGGCTGGAGGGTACTTTTAATGATAATTGCAAAATAAGTTTTGGTAAAAATTCTAAATCCCTCTTGAGAACTCTTTACAGAGAATCCTGTTTCTGAGGTCTGGACGTTAGCTATAATATCCTGTTTCAAATTCATCTATTTTCCCATGGGCCCTCCGCATCCGCAAGTCCCCATCAGGCTGAACGCCGCAATCGCACGTGACTCACCAGGTAGGCTCTCCAGAAGGCCTGGATGCACAGCGCTGCTTCCTCTTCGGTCAGCAGGAGGGACAGTGGGATTGGCGGCCGGGGGCTGAAACGCAATAATGGTCAGATGCCCATGAGAATCCATCCCTCAGCCTCAGCAAGGTCTTTAACAATATAATGGCCTCTCTGATTAAGTGCCTCATCCATTCCCATTCTTAGAAAGCAACAATGTCACTTTTGATAGAAAAGTTTAGACTTGAGATGGCATTTTTGATTTTAAAACCTGGGATGGATTTTTGGTTTTTAACCAGCATAATCTTAAATCACTGTTAGCCTGCTCTGCTTTGAAGGACTGAGGTTGGTGAAGGTGTGTGTTGGTCCTGAAGGCACAACATACGCATTACTGACATAAGGCTATGTAGACACAGAGCGGGAGAAAGAGCAGAAGGGACCCTGACACCTGCATATGACTGGCACATAACAAAGGGCTCTTTTCCCAACTTTCTATTGAAGGGGAATTAAGTAATCCGTCTCTTTTCTGAAAGCAAAATACTGGAATTTATCTCTGATTGGTGTGCATTCCAATTTAATGTGGCATAAATTCAAGAATATTTTTAAGTTAAGTTCTACTATATCTTAACAAGCAATAAAAGGTCTCAAGTGCTGGGTCAGTTGACAGTGTCTGCTATCGAGGGATTTCTCAGATTGGGATGTGATTCTAGGGCACGGACACCATATTTAAAAACCATGGCTAAATTCTCTTTTCTTTTTTTCTCCTAAAAGTTTTATAGAGATACTAATTGCTGACAAGAACTTACAAGTCTGACTTAATTTTGGTTCCTTATGTTTCCCCAAAGCACAGCTACCTCTGCAAAGCAGAAGTCAAGACATTTCAGATGCAGTACAAAAAGAATAACCTCTGGAAGGACATGGATCATAGCGAGGCTGTTCCCAGCGCAGGATCCCAGATGTGGCTTTGCAAGTGAGGGACTCCCAAGTGCCCTGGCCTTGGAGCTCTCCCTAGCGACTGCCATCACTTGAATTTACTCTAAGTCCCATGTATAGAGAGGCTGACTAACCTGTCCAAGGTCACACGGCTTCTAGTGGCCTAGTCAGAGCCCACACCAATCCAATCCCAAACCCCAGGCTTCCCTCACAATGCCGTGCTCACACCAGACCTCAACTAGACACAGACTGCCAAGCTAACTGCCAACAGTGCAGGATCCTCAAGGGTCTGGGCTTTTACTTCCCTCTCAACTGGGACTTAAAAACCACCACCACCACCACCACCAAAAACATCACCCTTCAAACAGTGTATTTGTGTGAATGAATGAATGCTCTTTAGAATTATTCCAGAATCAAAGAAATCACAGCCAGGGAGAACCCTGGAGGTTAGCAAGGGCATTTCTGGTGAGCAGCACTGTTGCCAGGTGCTGGGTCTCCAACCACGCAGACCCTCCCTTTCTACGATACCCACAAAGGAGGCACTTCTACTTCTTTGGAGAGATCATTACACCCTCAAAATGATAGCAGTGTCAGAAATCTTTCCCTAGTGGTGTCTCCATTTTTGAATGATGTGGTGGCTTCTTTTTCTGGTTCCATTTTTGTTTTCATTTCCTCTTGTCTAACAGCCGTGTCTTTGGGCTGTGGCAGACGGAGCATTCTTGTTTAGCTGGAGGCTGGCCACTGGAGAGGCATCAGCTCCCAGCTTTCCACATTAAATGTCTCTTCGTCCACTGTCCTTATACTCTGACACCAACAAATCACATCCCTTTAGTAAATCTCCTTCGCTAAAAACCAATGGCTTCTAGGAAGCCCTCAGTGTTTCTCTGACCTTGGTCTGCCAGCAGTGAATTCAGAATAATGCCATCCTGAATTAACGCCAGCTGGTATGTGCTGAGCGCCTTCCGGGCCCTCCAGTCAGCCTTGCTCCTTGTGCTCCAGCCATGCCAGCCTCTTCATCCCCTCAGACATGCCCTCCCACCTCAGGGCTTTGCTGAGGGCTTCCTCTGCCTCCAGTGACCTCTTACCCAAGCCAGGACACGACACCGCTGTGCAGGTTGCTCTCTGCTCATGGGCACCCAGCTGGGCGTAGGGAACTGAAAGCCCCGCCAGGCTCTGCTCCACGAGCCATGAGCCACGCTCCATCTGCCCTGGGGCAAGGGATGCATCTGCCCTCCTCTAGGAGTGTCTTTCCTAATTTGCTCAAAGGCACCTTAGGGTTGGGGGCCTGACACCTTTTTCTCTAATTCACCCTTATTCTTTCTTCCTATCTCTCTTGAATGCTATTGAAAGATGTCTTTTGATTAGGTCGGGGCCCAGTGGAGTCCTGTGCAATTTTCCTTTCTAGTCCTTGGCCCAATTTGGAGATAGAACTCCGTGATTATCTAATTAATGCCCAAATCCTCAACTGAACTGAAAGCACTGCGAGGGCAGAGATGGGGCCTGTGTTTGCTCCTCTGGGTCGTTCAGCACTTAGGACAAGCCAGGCACAGAGTAGACACTCAATAAATACTGTGGAATAAGCCCCTGTGCCTGGCACAGTGTGCCTTGCACTTTCCACACACAGTTTTATTCAGTCCTCACAACACTAATGAGTTACTGTGATTCTTCTTGTAGAGTGAAGAAACTGAGGCACAGAGGAACGGAGGGACTCGTTCAAGGTCACTGACCATTTTCTGCCAAGAATGCAAACTGGCCAGGAAACACAGAGAACGTCCCAAAGAGAAGAGAAGGGCAGCTCACCAGGTCACAAATGGGGAATAAAGGGTCTCACAGCTCAAGTATCAAGCAGAGCAAAACCCAGTCACTTGCCTAGAAGAAAATGATGAGGGGAAAAAGCTGTAATAGGGAATATGCCCTCTTGGTTAGCCCTTATAGCAACAACTGGGCAGGTACCCACTTGTCTGAAGCTGCACAGGGAAACCCAGTGTCAGGACAGCAGAACACAGTGGCGTTTGTCACTTGTATCTGGGGGCATTCGACAGCACCTTTCCATTCAGCTGCAGCTTTCCTGCTTTAAATATGTTTTCTCCACTGATGTCATGAAATACTCAAAGTAACAGTATTCCTGTTTTGGAATCGCAGTAGAAAAGGAGAGCTGCAAATCTGGGACCCACAGGCTGGGCCAGCCCAACAAAGGGCTTTCACCAGTAAGGAAACCCTCAACCGCTCTGCATCACAATGTTTCCAAAGGCGAGCGGGTTTCTAATAGGCCTGAAGGCAGTAATATGAGGCCACCTTTAGTGACATCCCTGCTTTCATGGCTAAATAAGGGGTGCTGTCCAGTTCTCAAACCAAGAGTAAGTATGAGAGAGCCAGTGCAAGTCAGGCCAAATGAAAAGAACTTAATCTTCAGAGAATAGTCCCTGGGAATTATCAATCATTTCAGCAGGCCAGCTTGCAATCAAAGAAAACAAGACAGGCCCTTTTCTCTCTTTTGGAATCAGTGCAACTGGCTCCAGGTCAAATAAAAATAAGAGATTGAGTAGAGGCAGCCACTCATCACGGGGGAGTGGGGAGGGGGAGAAGATGAGCGCGCCAGTCACAGGGGAAGGCAGCTGAGGCTCCTCGCGGGTTTCAGCCAGCCCCAGAGCAGGCAGCTTTGCACGTCCCAAAGAGCAAAACAGCACTGCCAGTACTCTTCCAGTAAGAACTGTTTTATTGGTAATGCTCATGTCATGTTCTTTTTTCCCCAAATTATTTCATGTGAATTAAATGTATCTGAATCTCAAGAATCAATGCTTTAATTCTGAGAAAGAACAAGAATTAATTTTTCTGATTGTGTGTGTGTGTAATACACACACCTTGCCCCCTTTTTGGATGCTAAGCGAGAGATCTGCAGGACCTAAAGAAGATAGAGCATAGTACAAGACACATAAGAGAAGCTGAGAATTTAGTCTTTATTAATTTCTCCATCCAGTTCTAAGACAAGAGGTAGCATCCAAAATGGCATTCAAGCAAAATAAAGCAGAAAGGAGAAAAGCTTGCTTTATATTGAAATTTAAATCTCATGATCCAAATTCTGTCCACTTACCATTAGGTAAGAGACTAAGTTGTTTTCTTGGAACATGAGCGTACAACCCAGATGCAAAGCCATTGACAAACGACGCAGACCCTAAACCAACACTGTCATAAAGCCTTCCGCAAGCCCAGTATTGGATACTGCCTGCCCTCTAGTCAGCAAAAGAGATCACCCATCCCTGCCCTCAGCCTTCACTGGTTTCCCAAGCATTCTCGCTGAAGACATCACAGTCTTCAGGAATGAACTTCAAATATTTGGAAGAAGTACAATAGAGGTTGGTTAACTGGAATGGTCCATCCAGACAGCGAGTGACTGGCCATGAGGATGGCCTCTCACGAGATTCTTTCCGTCCCAGCCTCCTATGATGAGAGGGATAACTCCCAAAGCCGGCGGGGAGAGCTGGCTGCCTGACCCTCCAGCAGCCTTAAAGCACACTGAGAAATCACGGTTACTAGGATGTGACTTTGCTTTCACCATCTCAGCAGCTCCACCCTGGAACCAACAAGCAGTTATCACCCAGCATCAGGCTGACTCACTCTCCTAGGTAAACAGAGTGGAGTCGCAGGTTACCACCCTTTCATTGGAAGCTGCATATGGGTCCAGTTACCAGCTCTCACTAACAACCTGCTACAAGACCTCATGCTCAACCTTGGGCCGCATGCATAGCCATGTTAAAAATCAGGGTGATTTTTATGCTTTTTCATAAATATGCCCAGACTGCTGTGTTATTGAGTCTCCCTCCTCTTGCTGTAATTGGTGAGCCAGGCAAGGTGGCGGTGGGAGGGGAGGTGGGTTTATGGGAAGAGCAGACCACCTTCCTCCCATCAGTGGGAAAGGAGCCTTCCCACCCTGCCAACCCCTGAAGGGACCAAAACCTGTTTTCTGCCACAGATGCCTTTCCACTTTGGCAGGTGGGAGTCCTTCTCAGAATAATGTTTTTTAAATACATAAGATTGAAAAGCAAACCAATTACATCAAAATAAAGTTATCACAATGCTTAAAAAGTTAGTGATATAGTAATATATGTGCTTCCAAGTTATGCAGTAAATAAGAAGAGCTAATGCAGCTCAATTAACTAGTGT